AAATCTTTCATTTTTTTTTTTATTGTCAGTGCACTTAATTTAGTGGTGAAACAAGAGATCAAACGGTAGAAATATTATACAGTGGATATTTCTAATAAAAATTCAGTGAAATTACATATTACATTTACTTTTGCATCTCGTGAATTTCATTATATATATATATATATATATATATATATATATATATATATATATATATATATATGTGTGTGTGTGTGTGTGTGTGTGCATGCGTGTATTTAAAAAGAACGTTTTATTTAATAAATTTATATTCTACACGTCTCATAATTTTAATTCACTTACATAAATCGATACTTTTTTTATTTACATCAATTTTATTCTAAAAGTCTTCAGATCAAAATGTTTACGGTTTGATAAATGACCTTAAAATTAAAAAAAAATCGTGCAGGCTTTTAAGCATTTTTCGGAAATAGAAACGTTCAATCAATAAGATCGACTAAATAAGAAAATGAAAGATTTTTTCTAGGTTTGTTCAAATATCAAATGTCTACTTGAAGCGTTGGATTGTTGGTTTCGAAATTATATAATTGTTGCGTAAGAAAAAAAAGAAGATTTTCTTTGGTCTTATTTGCTTCTTTTCCTTTGCCGAATTATTTTTAGAAGAAGCAAATAACGAAAGAATTAGATTAAATTTAAAGTTCTTTAAGTTATTATTTTCTTGCGACATAATTATCGGTTCTCAAGTTGAAATGATAGCAGATTCGGTATTTTTTTTTTTTTAATCGTTTCATCTCAAGCAAGGAGGGAATGCCACTAAGACGCAGGGGGTCATGGGGAGTGAAAGAGAAAACTGAGAATAGGGAGAAATGAGGAAAGGATAAAAGATGAAGGAGATTCAAGAAGATAGTTGACCACGATTGACGTTGCATTTACATTTTTGAAGTTTGTAGTTATCAGGGAAGCAAGTAACAGGAAGGGGGTTCCACAGACGAGAAGTGTGAGAAAAGAAACTATTGGAGTAGAAGTGGCGGCTGCATTTATTCTTTGCTTAAGTTCCTTTAGGCTTATAGGAAGAGAAGGGATATAGACCTGTCCTTTCACATAGCCCCATAGAAAAAAATCACAAGGTGAACGTGTGGGCCATTTCAACAGCACATTGTAATTATCACTAGAAAACCGATCCATCTTCCTGGTAGATTCTCATTGAGATAGATCTATATTGAGACGTAGGGGAATGTTGCTCAAGACATGCTACAGCGTGTTTGGCAGATGCTGGACTGCCGACTTAACGTTTATCGTGTCACAGGAGGCGTGCATATTGAACATTTGTGAAGCTTTGTATAATCATTTACAAAATTGTTGTATCACGTGTTTTTGAGATAAGAGAGAGAAATAAATAAGAAAGACTAACTCGTAGGTAAGTAAGGAAATAGAAGTTTTATTACATAGCCTCGTCTTTACTATTTGTCAAAGGCAGAGAGTTCGACAAGCACTATGAGCTTAGCGCGGGGTTAAGACCTAATTGCTAACTCTCCTGAACTCCGCCTATTTACATAAACTGACGATTCCTTTCATTTATGTCTTATATGACAAAAATCTAGATGCCTTTTGATCTGAATTTTGATAAATAAATCTTTTATTGTTCAACATGAAGCCTATTTAATTTCGTTTAACTGAGACCCGTAGTTACTCAGATATTTACATTTTAAATGATGTCAATTTTGTGGGGACAGCTTGTATATTATCAGAAGAGAATGCCTTTGTTTTTCGCGGGGAGAATCATGTATTTAAAGTAAAATAAAATACCTCAGAGAGTTGAATGGTACTCTCTTACATAGTTCATTCCTTGGAAGAAGTTAAGACAGAGCTTGTCAGCCTTGGTTGGCAATCTGTCTCGGAGGAAGATTATTCTTATTTCAAAACCAGAGTAGATGGAACTCCTTAGTTACCTTGTTGACAACCCTTCTTGGAAGTGCGGGTGGTGTAATGAATATAAGCTCGGACTGAGAAATCGGAGAGCAGATTTCGAATTCCAGTGAAGTTCTTTAAATTCACTTGCGTACAGAAATCCTAGGGAAATGGATGAATCCATCTCTTCTCCCCAGTTACGGGTTAAACAGCAGTGCAGTCTGGGCTCTTTAGCAGTGGTGGGAAAGTATTCTCCACTCAAAAACACGCTAATAGATTGGCAGTGAAATTTTGGATTTCTCGGTTTTCTGTGAATTCATTTTGATAAAACTTTCCCCGGCTGGTTTGCACAATATGGCAACATCATTGTCAGGTTTTCATTATTTTGTGTAACGTCTTTTTTTTTTTTTTTATTTCAGATTCGACAGTTTTGGGCTGAATCACGCTAATCGCTTTTGAATGAAAATCGCTCATCTAGACATTTTGGGGGGAAAATGAAGGATGATGATACATATTAAGCATACCTTGAGTATATATTTAACAGAAAACCATATTAATATTACAAGATATATTTACGTAATGAATTATTTGGCCACATGAGCGCCATTTTGACGGATAACTTTAAAAACCCTATTAGTCTTGAAATTTTCGAATTTTTATTGTCGCAGTTTGGATTGTCTCTGCAGCTTTGATGGTCCCCATAGGATATCTTTCGACGTAAATTGGCGTCCATCGGTATAAACATCTTGTTTAGTGATGGACCAAAGATTTTTAATAGGATTGAGATCGTGAGAGGCAGGCGTTCACACCATCAGCCTTTCACCTTGTATGCCGTAAGAGCCTAGGAATTCTTTAGTGACCCTGGCAAAGTGGAAGAGAGTGTTGTTATGAATGAATACTAGAGTCCTTAGAAGTAACAGCGGTATGTCATCTAGCCATGGATCCAAGACCTCCTTTAGGAGATTGCAGTAGGCAGTTGCGATCAATTTCAGGAACGATGACTGTGCCGACAATCTGTCTCCAATGATACCAGCCCACAACATGACTCCCCCACCCTGATGTTGACGCCGTAAATGTTGCTGATGCTTATCTCCGAAATAGAACCAACCATTTGTTCAACCGTCAGATCCATCAAGAGTCTTCCTGGTCTCATCAGTGAACAGAACACATGTCCAACAACATGTAATTTCGAGCCCATTAAAGCCTCAAATTCCTGTGACAGGACATTAAAGGAGGCAGCTTCAAGGGTCTCGAGAAAGATATTTTTGGTAGTTTTCAGTACACGAGGAAGTAGAGTGGCCGTGAAAATGGATTTGTCCGGGTTTCTTACGTGAATTTCAGATAATATTCTTTAAATCCGTAGTCATGGAGGTCCTACAATCGGATCGCTTATTCATTGGCGAAGGCTCCCTCGGGAACCGTTTAACCGTGTCTACATGACGACCTAACTACTCCGCAATGACATGAAGAGAGGAGCTTTTAGCACTTTCCTTGATGATGATAGATTTCTCTTCATCTTTGAGGCTTTTTTCACGTCTTATTGTTCTTAGAGAGGAGAAACGCTATTAGTGTGGCTCATCCAAAAACTGTCGAGTCTGGAGTCAAAAATTAGGGCCGTTACAGAGAATGATGAAAACTTAACAATGGTATTGCCATATTGTGCAAACCATCTGGGAAAAGTTTCATCAAAATAAACGATCCTGCTATATCATTTACTGTCGTAAATATCGTTCTGGACGACAGGGAAAGCGAAACGTATATATATATATATATATATATATATATATATATATATATATATACAGTGACTCGAAGCAACAGGTAAGTGGTTCTAGCGATGGATGCTGAGAATATCATGAACCGAACATGTGAGCAATGAGGAAGTTCGAAAGAATATTGGAACTAGAAAGATATTCATACTTAAATTCAGAAACATGCCGTTGAAAATCCTGGGATACATGATGAAAAACGGCTTAGAAAGTTTAATACTCACAGACTTGAATGAAACGGTAAAAAACTGACCTGATCAGTTCATCTGAATGGATGGTAGACCAGGGACAATGAGAAATGGTAAAAATCAAATGTTGCTACAAGAGACAAGAAATTGTGGAGACCCCTGATTATCCAAGCCCTGTTCATAATTGACTAGAAAGTAAAACGATACCAGACAAGGAATTTTTATGAGCGTGTGTGGTTTTGTATTATATTGAATTGATTTTTACGGCTTAAGGCTAAACCAACAAGAACACTTTGACGTGGTGTAATGGTTAACATGCTTGTCTTGCCATATAAATTACTACTGTATAGTGAGTTCGATACTCACTAGTTGCTCCTAGCCTTGTGACCGCATCTAAACTTCGCTTATAAAATCACTATTAGGGTACTTCGACGTGGTGTAATGGATAGCAAGCTTGTCTCGCTAGATCAATTACAACTGATTAATGAGTTGGATCACACTCGGTGCTCCATGTACCACATCTATGCAACGCTTAGAGAAACACCATTAAAAATGAATAAATTAACAATAAAAAATACGAGATTTGAGAAATTTGATCAGATTCATCTGCAATCAGTTGATCTCAGAGTTTACACTTGAATTTCAGATAGAGGAGATATTTAAAAATAAAAGCGGTACCTTAATTTTTTTTAATTAATTTAATTTTTTTTATTTTATTTGTGGTATAAATGTCTAAATTAAGGAGTGTGATGAAATTTTCTGAATATTTAAAAAGGTTAGTTGAAATATTGTTGTACCGGGTGAATTTTTCTCAAAAAATAAAATAATAATAATAATAATAATAATAATAATAATCGTCTCAGCCGGACTACTTGAAACTCATCTTTTCTTATGTCACGCCGAACACGTTCCATATCTCTTGAAATCACTTCACCAGTTTAAAAAAGTCCCTTATTTTCTATTATTTTTTCTTTCTCCAAAAAATGAATTTTGAGGTTTGTTCCTCGAGTTCTGAGTAGTAATATCTATGTGAATATAAGACCATGGTGCCAACCAGAATCTTGTAAATATAGATATTAATTGTTTTGCTTCTTTTTACAGAATGTCATCTCGTAACAGCAAAGAAAGCCCAGGTTTGGCCGTCAGCTCCAGTTTGCATGAGATGCAAGAATTAATGGCAGGCGATTACCTGGAGGCCGACGAAAGCAGTGACAGTTCAAGCGAACACAACACAACACAGGAATCTCTCATTTCTATCAGTCTTAATGGCAGTGACCAAAACCTTTCGAGACACAGATCTAACTCGGGTAAATGTCACTTATCTGAATTCTTCTTTGACTGTAAACCAGGTTTTTGAAGCTATCTCTTAAGTTATTAATTGATTAAAAGACCACATTCGCGATCACAAAGCCTTAAGAAGCTATATGATACTTTCATGAGCTGTATAGTACGTGCTTCACTTGGGCTACACTCGGTTTTGAATTCACTGTTGTCCGTCTCCTAGACTGGTTGCCCCAGTCTACCTTACTATTTAAGCTATAGATGAGGAAAGAAAAGATGCATCCATATCTTTTGCGAAGGTATTTGCACGAAAGAGAATACGAATAAACTCTATTGGAATTCAATCCCGGCTCTCCGATTTCTTTTTCCTAGCTGCTATCCAATGCCCCATGCGCACATCCGTAGGAACCTGCGAGACCGGCTTAAATTCCAACTAAAAAAGTTCGTGTAGTTATCACTAACGACTAGTGAACAAAATAACTTCATCTTTTCTTCCCCAGATACGCGTACAAAAACAAGGCATGCTGGGATATCTCGCTTTAGGCGTAAACCAGTCAATGAGATCAATTCTCATTTCAGACTAAAGATGAACCCGCTTGAAATGGTTCGATGTTAATTTTGAATTCCTTCTGTGAGCTCCTGTAGCCAAGTTGATGCGAATAAGTATTGGTTCCCGAAATGTATGACTTAATAAAATTCCAGGTGAATCTTTGACAGACCTAAGAAGAAAAAAAATTCTAAAAAATGTGAAATTATTAAAACGAGTGATGGAGGCAAATTTGGATCTAGCGATATTAAAAGCTACTTATTTCAACCATTCTCAACAGCGACGATTCAAGCGAAATCGCTGATATTCTTGAATTATGGTCTTTATCATAACTCGCCTCAGCAACATTAATGAAGTGTAAAGGATCATTTACGTTCTAAATTACTAAAACCACTAGGCTTTGATAGCGTGTCAAAAACATTTCGCTACTGACTTTAACATTATGAAGCGATAAAAACGAATGCATTTTTTTCAGATTTGGATGATATTTCTGTCATTTCTGTCTAAATTTCTGGGATGAAGAGTTATCATTATTGACATTATTTACATTCGGACTATTGTCCTTATCATATTATCCGGAACGATATACAGCTGATGAAGGCCGGAGAGTACAATGATCAAAACATTGCGCTAACAACAACCAAGATAGTGCAAATGAAATATTGTACATTATTTCTTTCATTTGTTAATGCATTGCCAATCAAGCAGAGTCTGAAACATGGCTTCCAGTGAAATCCTTCTCGTATTAAATTTCAGACTTTGCTTAAACGTTAAGACTGCCCGTGGCCGATTCGCTTAAGGTACGCCGATCTAACGACGGTTTCCCTCTGCCCAGAGAGACTCAGGTTCAAATCCTACTGGAGAGCGCATATTTTACTTTAATGAGAGTTCTCGAATATTCAGATCGGTAGACGAAAATAAATAAACATACTGTTTAATAAATAAATGAAGCGTCTACTCAAATATATGTATCCACTAAAAATAACGTTGAAAGTGATAAAAATCTCTTGGATTGCTAAACAAAAATCCATTGCCTTAGAAAAAAAAAATACCTATCGCGCAATCGCGAGTCCCATGACACATCAGGGTCGTAGAGGTACCACATGAACTGGAGACGCAGTAGAAGTGGTGTGTCTTGGGCAACGTAGCCTGACGGAGCCCAACCCTCTCCAGACAGGGTTTGAATTCAGAGTTTTCTTCTAAACCGATTGCTATAGAACTCAAGGCTATATACTAAGCATGTCCACTGTTTTCGCGGAAAAACAGCATAGCGTAAATGAAAAATGCCCCAAACTTAAAGAAAATAAAGTATTATCGTCAAAATGCTTATGTTATTATTTAGATGAAAGAAAAAAGTATTTTTTAATTAGTTTTTGAAATTTTTTAATATTTTCTAACACGTTCGAAATTTTGGTTAAAGTCGTCTTTGTTTACGTCATCGCGGCGACGTTTAAAATAACAGTTTTTTTTTGCGTTTTTTTACCGTTGAAAACATATTGATTTGGAAATTCTTGTAAAAATAAAATAATTGTCCGATCTTAATGAAATTTTCAGGACTTATTCACAAATGAATGAAATTATTTTTGAAATATTTTTTTTAGAAAATTTTGGTAAAAATTATATTTTTTTAAAATATGTTACCCCACATTTACTTAATTTAATGAAATTTCGCCCAAAACCATTTTGGTTCCTGAATTTTTTTTTTGTTAAAAGTAGGAGTCTTCGAAGATGGTAAATAACCTACATTTTTTTTTTCAAATTTGAGCTATTTAACTGAAAATCTGTTCTGAATTGAAAAATAATGAATCCAATAAAACTATGATATTACTTAATTAGAAAAGCTTTTAATTGCTTTTGTAAATTAGTAATATTAAGGACATTATTGTCTGAAGAAATAATTTTTTTCTGATGATTAATTAATTTTTACAAGAATTTTTTCGTTTTTTAAGAAATTTTAATTATAATAATTTATAATAGTTTTAAATCGTGTAAAGCTCTGTATTAGGAGGGTTCCTCGATATTATGTAGTAATTAAGTAGGAAAAAATTTACGAATCCAAAATTGCTAAGTTTAATAAATTTAGTTGCGCTACTTTTTTTTAAAAAAATTTTTTTTATGTTGTATTTTTTTACTTAATACATTCCTTATCTCCATGTATGATATACAGAAATTGCCATTATTATAACAAGGTCACGTGATCTAAGGGTTTTGTCCCTTTACGTGGCCTTTTCAAAACATTTCGTTTCTTATAAGTTGTATTTTCCGTTCAAAAGTGTAAACTTTAAATTTTAAATTATTTTTTCTTTTTTTCATTTACTATTTCACTAAATAATTTTATTATATGTATTGTATTGTGTGTGTCATACTCAAATAGAATATTTTTTTTAAAAACTCAGACTTAAAAATTATGTCATTTATGGTCATCAGTAGTAGCTGTCATCGGCTCGTCAATCGACTATCATCAATAAGATCGAACAGATGAACGGGACCGCTCATTAATAATTGGTTGTATATTATTTTTTTATGCTATAAGTAACAAAGATTTCTTTGAAATCAGATTACTTTAACTTTAAATTTTTTAATTTTACTAAAATAACGTGTCAGAATTTTTTTAATTATTTTAAAAATCGATAAATTTGTGTTTGTTTACAAATTTCTTAAAATTAAGAAAATGGCCGTTTTAAGAAAATTTAAAATTTGAAATTAAATTTGACAATCAAATGTATATAGTTTCTATCTGAAATACACCAGAATTGTTTAATTAATAGAAATCGTAAATTTAGTTATTAAACTTTCAATTAAAGCTAAAATGAAATCTTCAAGAATGTTTTTTCATTGTAAAAATTTCATTTTAAACTTCAATATAGAAAATTTATGCCGAAATAGTGGAGGTACTTACTATATACTTATATATAAACGCAAATTCTTCCTAGCTTCTTGAAAGTTTATATCTGCTTTTTCATATCCGAACATAAAGCAATTTATGAAGAAGTAATAGATTTTTATTAATCAAAAAGATTTTACCACATTAACCGTTAATTTTAGTTGATACCCTTATTTGGGTAAATCCTCTGGGGTTTTCTTTGTTTTGTTTTTTTTTGTTTTTTGTTTTTCGTTTTTTTTGTTTTTTTTTTTCTTTTTTAGTAAACAATATATTTATTTGAGTCTACCGGCCTAAATATTCGAGAAATCTTATTGAAGAAATATATGCGCTGTCCGCACGGAATCATTAGTATAGCAATGCAATATCTTATCTATTGAGAATCCCGAAAACATAAAAATCTATATAGGTTGCACAAGCCATGAGTTCAAAAAGAGTTTCAAAATCGCTATCGAAATATTTCTGGCACTTAAAGGAAACCAATAAAATACATACAGTAAAATGGAAATTAATAAGAAAAGCTAGAATATGTAGGTCATTAAAGGGCCCATCTCCTTTGTGCATACATGAGAAACTATATATTACTAAGTTTATAAAAAATGAAAATTTATTGAATCAAAGAAATGAAATAGCTATTCTTTGCTGACATTGTGAAACAATTTTCCTTAAATAATATTTAAAAATAAAATAAAAATTTTTAAAAAATGGGAGCTGGTAATATACATACTTATATTTGATATGTAATAATAATTTTTAAGTAATTCTATTACATTTAATTGATTTAAAAAGAAATATAGTCTATTAGTAATTCAGAGTAAAAATAGTATTTTAAAATTGTAGTTCAATATAACTTATTCTAACCCAAACACCCCTTTTAGAAAGAATATTTAAGTATACAAGTACGAATTTAACGGAAAAATGCCGAAAACATTTTTGTCGTTGGTAAAAGAACCAGACGACATGCGTTGAACGGATGCCAAAATTCGTTGAAAAATGAACCACTACCCTCCCTAAACTTAACCTCTTATTCGAACGTAACTCATAATTGATACAATAGTTAATAAAAATGAACACGCTACCGCCTCTGTCTAAATGATTTCTTTGTATCCTTGGAAACAAGAAATTATGAATTTATATGTGCGTTTAAAACTCAGTAAATTAAAAAATAAGTTATTCAAAAATTCGTTTGAAGATGAAACAGAACTAATGCTTTTAATTTAATTATATAATTAAATTTGAAGTTATTAGCTTCGGTTTTTGAAACATGGTAATTCCTGTGTAGTGAAGAAACCACATCTTAAATCAGTTAATTTATATATATATATATATATATATATATATATATATATAATAAAAAAAATAGAACAGTTAGATTTATAATCCAGAGTTCTTTAGTATTTTTTTTTTTTTTAAAGTACAATATTATAATTATTTTTTTTATTTTTTTAATTATTTTTTTTGCGTCGCGATGGAAACATATTTTTTTTAAATAATTATAATATATATATATATATATATATATATATATATATATATATATATATATATATAACTAAAGTATATAATTGGAATACACGGAATGAATTCCAATAACCAAC